TGTGAATACTCATTGAAGAAGCTGGGATGTAGTAATTTTAACCTCGAAATGAGGAATATGATAATACCTTAAATAATGGTATACAGTGGTACCTCAGTACTCAACTGCTTTGAAACTCATCGAATTTGGTATTCAGCACATTTTGACAAGAAAAATTTGTCCCAGTACTCGTCATTTATTTGGTATTCAACACGCAAGCTAAAACTTTTCAGTGTCGGCTGCCTGGTGACTCGCTACCTTTACCAGCCAAAACAAAGGGTGACGCAATAATCACATGGTAGCCCTTGCCCTGTGCACATCCCCTTGCAGCCTTATCTTAGCTTCTGTGGTCATTTTGTGTATTTGGGGGCTATTTTTCTCATCAGTATAAGTAATGTTTTTATTTTATTTAATCTAAGTATTTATTAATTCTTAGGTTTATTTCTCATGATATGATACCCATCCATATCTTTTTACATATTGCCTTAAAATGTGCCTTATCATTGGTTTGGCATTTATTTGCATTATTCTTTATGGGAAAAATTTGTTTAGTACTCATTGTTTTTGGTACTTATCACACCTACCAGAACCAATTAACAAGTACCCAGGTACAACTGTATAGAAGAAGGTCCACATGTTCTCTCTTGTTCCAAAATGTCAGACAAAGAATAATGGATTTAAGTTCTAGGAAAGCAGTTTTCCATTGAACGTTAAGAAAAAAAATTCTATCACAGCAGTTTAGAGCTAATTACCCACAAGATGTTGAGCTCTCTTTTGGATGTGTTCAACCAGCTGGGATGTTTTAATTTCCAACTTGATTATGATTCTATAAACTGTATAACAAAAATCAATACAATACAAGCTTTTAAGCATGAAAGTTAGCCACTGAAGAAAAAACTATATTACGTTAAATATGTTCATTCTAATATTTTGAATAGCTAATTAACTATATATAATAGCAACAGCTCCACTGAATAGGAGTTCTCAAATTGTAGCCCACTGCTTCCAGGAGAAACAGGAGAAATTTAGAAATGAGTTGCAAAATATTTTTAAAGCCACAGCAAGCTTATACCGTCAGAGTGACAAACAAAGCCTGGAGAAAGTTTTGACAGAGGGCTAAATCTGTGGATCTACTTAAGCCATCTGTCAAAAATATCTGTCAATCACAGCAGTACTGCAATTGGCAAATGGTTTCCCACCAGCTCATGATTTCTAGCATGACATTTATTTATTTATCAAATTTCTATACTGCCTATCACACTTACATGATGACATGATGTATAAGAATATATCTGCAGTCTCTGGAGTGTCTATATATACTTTTCTGTTATCAAAGTTCAATACTGCATTTTTAACATTATAAATTCCTAACCTTTCAAAATGGGTAAAAATATTAGGCAGTTAAGACAGAAGCTAATCTACAGTAGCCCAGCTAAAAGTAAGCCTGAGCATAGGATATCTCATGAAAGTTACATATCTTTCAGTAAATGCTACATTTATTCCTTTCCCAGTTCTAACTAAATTAAATCTTTAACAGGGGTGACACAAATATACTTATTACTTTAGCACTGCAAAGTTTGAGTATATCTGGTTTTTAAAAAATAGTCTCCATTTACACAATTGCAGAAAAAATATGAAAATTAGCTTACTAAATATTAATATCCTCATGTTTTGGATTTCCAGAAAATTCCACCAGACATTAATGTTTCTTGTTAAGATTCTGTGTACTTTTATCTTTTAATGCATCTAGTATTTTTTAAATACTACCACCACTGCTACACAAAACTAAATATGTATTATTATATGCTTATTAAAAGATAAAGATGCTTGTGTCCAACAGCTTTCTGAATATGAAAATTTAATGAGTGTAAAATTAAAGTGAAACAGTGTTTGCTTTTCCAAATATGAAACAGCAATAAAGTGTCCATAATGGTAGGTACCAAAAGGTTAAATGCAAAAATCATTTTATCCTGTCCACCTCTGTTATTTTTTTTATTGCTTTAGCATAAATACACCACCATTTGTTTTATAAATGTCTGTATTCCTTTGAAACAATATTTATTTTCTATTCACATGATTTTACCAGGTATGAAGAGACATAAAAATACATTGGTTGTATAGCAACATAAGGAAATGCAAAATCACAGGTAGTGTTTATTATAAATTGGCAGCGGAACTGATTTCATAGGTAGGATTTTTTTCCCATTAAAATATAATGATCCCATTAAGTATATCCAAGCATCAAATTTCCAATTTCAGTGCAAATATTTCTAGGCCTAACAAATTTCTTTGCTGGTTAGGCTTATGCCTCTCTTTACATTAAAAAATGTGGTTTCCTGTAGAGATACAGAATGAGCTATGCCCCACCACCTGCACAAAATAAACATCTATCACCTCAGACCATGTTTGTTTTATTTAATTATTGCTCAGTCCCTTTCTGGCAAACAGCCTACAGTAAATAAACACTAACTCCTTCCCCTATTAAGTAAGCAATTTTTCATCTCTTTCTCCAACCCTATTATGAATTAGTTTAAGATTTGGAATTTAAAAAAAACACTGAGATAGAGCATCAGTGTAAACTGAAAACCTTTGTTTAGTATCATGGGAATAGACTATATACCTACATGAAGCACACATTCATGATTCATTGTTCAACAAGTAAACTATCACTGTCAGTGCTAAGTAATCCATTTTAAAAACACTTAACAAATACCAGTCTGCATTTAAAGTTTATATTTATTAATACAGAACCTAGCAAAATAAGAAGTTTTGTTACTATCTGCAAGTCTCAAGATATTTGAACTAATCATGGAATTATAAAATGGCCAAGTTATTGTAACAATGCCCATACTTTGGCTGTAAGCATCAACAGGCCTATGTAATTTGATTTACGCTGAAACTGAACATGGTTGTACTAGTGAAACACCTTTACAAATTTAATCTTTTCTTTTCCATATTGAAATGTGTCTTTGTGATTTAGATAGATAAATCATTATTATAATTAAGAGACTGAAATAATTTTTGTCACTTATAAATTGTTTACTTACTCCCTAAGTTTTAAGAGTACTCATTTTAGAGGAAGCATTTTTAAACTGTTATAGCAAATATTGATAATAGAATACTAAAGAATTTAGCATGACATGAAGATTCCTATAAATAAGAGCAAGCTACTTATAATTTACCCATATTGTTCCATGTGGTAGTACATATTATTGCAACAAAAATCATTTAAAAAATCACTCCAAATTAACTTATATACATTAAATCAATCCTGAAATCCCCAGCTCCAACATTCACATACCAAATGTATTGCTTATTTAATGTATTCTTTTATAAGAAATTTAATACTTTTTATTCCTTTAGTCCGAAATGTTCTATCATGTAGAGATATCAAATTGGGTAGACAATTATTTTATTAGAGGTAGACTCTAATGAAGTCTTTATGAAGACTCATTTCTTGTGATGTGTATTGTTTCATTTTACCCTTTCTTAATTATCTTAAATGACTGAAGAATCTATTATCAAAACTGAACAAAGTTCCTGTCTGGAAAAAAGAATCTAACAAAATAATCTCTTTACCATTTTGGCATGTAAATATACCAGACTATGATACCAAAATCATTGTATAATATCTTTATTCTTTGGATTAAGTCTAGGTTGTATCACTGTACCTTTCTTTCCTTGAATTGGCATTTAAAAAAAAAAGAATCATATGACTCAAAAAATGAATTAAGGGGATTTGCTAACCTTATTGCTGATGAATGACAGTAGACTCAATATCAAATAACTTTACATTTCAGATTTGCAAAACAAATCCTACCAGGATACCAGTTTTGATGAGAACACTCATTTCATTTATCTCTATTAACCATGCAAATGAGATTTTCTGTTAGATTAAAAAAATATTTCTCTCATATTGTTGCTTTGTTTTCATTCATAATAAGCCTCTGATCAATGTAGTAATGATGAACTTTGTGCAGAATGTCAAGGTAGTCAAAGGATTCCTGTCTTTTTTATTTTCAATGGAATAATAAAATGCAGTACCAAAACCTGTATCTTTTTACATTAAACAAAAGGGAATAGTAAAATGTTAACTAACAGGTACTTGTCATAAGCTTGTTTTGTTTTCTCCTAAGAAATACTATTTGTTACAATCCAGGAAAGTTACGATTCTTTGGGTAGAAAGCAGCATTTTCTTCCATTTTAAAGGCTCCATAGTGATGTATAGTCTCCACAGTTTCCCAAATTGCCTTTTTAGGTGATGATATTTTTCTTATCCTCATCTGGCCTTTTGGCTGCCCCACTCTCACCGGCAAGGAAGAGATAGTTGGGAGCGGCTGGGCAAGAAAGCAATGCTACAGGCACAATTTGGGTGAAAGGTGTATTATTACTCTGTCTAGTTCAGCAACTCAACTGGCAGCTGCCTAATGCTTTCAGAGACTTCCCACCAACGTCTGTCTCCCAACCATTAGCAACATTCCCATTTACCAATAACGTTGCAGAAATATAACGATAATAATAGTGCTTGCTCCTTTCTCAATTTGCCACAAAACACATTCCACATACCCTTCTCTTCCCACCCTTAATCTCGGCTTTCAGAGCTGGCTTTCAGAGCAGTGGGAAGTACTGTCAAATTACAAACAGAGCAGACAAAAGGCTGCGATTGTGTGTGCGCGTACGTGTGTGTGTGTGTGTGTGTGTGTGTGTGTGTTTCTGTTTGGGGGGGGTGTCTGGATCTTGGAGCACAGCGGTACGGACGGGAACGGGAGAAAGACGATAAAACGGAGGGGGGGAGGAAGAAGGCAAAGGTAGAAAGGTAGAAAGGAAAGGGAAGCGAAGCGGAGGGCGAGATTCGAAACCGGAATGGAACTTGACAGGAGGGAGGGCAGCGGAAGGGCAGACGGGAGAAGGAGGAGGAGGAGGAGGAGGCAGGCAGGGCAGAAAAAAGGAAAAGGTATCTGGAATGACGGGGCAGAAGAAGCGACCTCCCTCCGGCGCTCCGTGGCAGGGCATTCACTCACCCACTTGCAGCACGTTATCCACGGCGCCGGTCTCCAGGAGGCGGATGCCTCTGCGGAACGGGAGCCCCTCGGAGATGGCGGCGCTGGCGGCGGCCGGCAGAGGGGCCGGGCCGGACGCACCCGAGGGAATAGCTGGACCAGGGACGGCGGCCGGGTTCTCCTCTCCTCCGACTCCGACGGCCGTCCCGCCGCTGCCCGCCGCTGCTGAGGCACTGCCGGATGCCCCGTTGCAGCTGGGTCGCCCGGGCTGAAAGCTGGAGTACATGCATATCTGACGCTCGCTGCGGGGGAAGCTCCAGTAGACGATGCGGCGCTGCACGGGCTCCGGGATGCGCTGGAAGCGGCCCTCTACCCGCTCGAAGGCCCAGCTGCCCGCCACACGCTTGGCTGCCGCGTCCAGCAGCGACTCGGGCTGCAGCAGCGGCAGNCCGCCGCCGCCGCCGCTGCCGTTCCGACGGGACCTCCCGGGCAGCCTCCGGATCGGGGCAGCGTCGCCGCCCCCACCACCCGCGAGCACAGGCGCTTGGGGCCCGGCGACCCCGCGGCGGGCAGCGGCGGTCGGAGCAGCTCCTCTCCCTCGCCTCCCTCCGCCATGGCTGCGTCCGACCCACTGAGTTCCAGCCGGTGCCTGCCTGCCGCCCGCCCGCCTGCGAACGCGGGGGGCGGGGGGCGGTAGAGGGAGGAGACTGCGGCGGCGGGGAAGCGGAGGGAGGGAGGGAGGGAGGGTGGACGGGCACCCCGGTGTGGGCAGCTGCCCCAGAGACCCGCGGCAGGAGGGAGGGAGGGAGGCAGGGAGGTGGGTCACGTGGCCCCTGCCTCTACCATTTAACCCCCTTCCCGAACAATTATTCTCTCCTATCTGCAACCTGCGTTGGTGCGAGAGGGGGGGGGTGTCTATTCACGAATTGACTTCTTCCCCCCGCCCCCCCCCGCTCTCACACAGCGTTTCCCATTCTTAATCTGACCGAGATTTCCTCTCCCGAGTTATTCCTTTTGCGTGGAATGACCGCAAAGGGGGAGAAGAAGGAATGCTTTTGTTCGCATTCATGGGAAGCAAGATTGCCGCGGGGACAATGTTCACGGGGAATTACTTCGCGGCGCTCTGCTCCGGAATCTGCTCGCCGCGGTCCTTCGTGGGCTGCGTCCCGGTTGGAAATAAAAGTCGGATTCAAACGGCATGCCCGGCTCCAGCAGCGACTTTTCTCGGGAGATGACTGGCTTGTCGGGTCTCTCACCTAGGATTAAGCCGCGCTTCAAAGGCTGGTGCCAAGGCTGGTGGACGCGCTTGAACTTTCCACCGCCCCCTGCTTTAGAAACAAGGCATCGAATAGGGAAGCGTCTCCCGTCGTACCAACGCGGCTTTGCCTTCTCTGTTCACGCTACGCAAAATCAGTTTTTGTGACTTCTCACAATATAGTATTAATATTCTTTTAGCCAGTAATCATACTGAAGTCTAACACGGAGAAAGTGCCTTCTCGAAAAGCAAGAACTCCACAGGGCCCCCTGTTGTAAATACAGTTAAATACCCGGACGTTTTACCAGAAATCCACAAAGCAAGCAATCACTATTTCTATTTTCATGAATAATAATAATAATAATAATAATAATAATAATAATAATAATAATAATAATAATAATAATAATAATAATAATAATAATAATAATAATAATAATAATAATAATAAAGTTGGAAGGGACCTTGGAGATCTCAAGTCCAACCCCCTGCTCAGGCAGGTAACCCTATACCATTTCAGACAAATGGCAGTCCAGTTTCTTCTTAAAAACTTCCAGTGTTGGAGCATTCACCACTTCTGGAGGCAGGTGGTTCCACTGGTTAATTGTTCTAACTGACAGGAAGTTTCTCCTTAGTTCTAGGTTGCTTCTCTCCTTGATTAATTTCCATCCATTGCTTCTTGTCCTGCCTTCAGGCGCTTTGGAAAATAATGTCCTTCAAAAAATGTCCTTCAAAGGATCTCTTCAATGACTTCCATCTCAAATATATCTCCTGAAATGTGAAGGGCCCCGATATGTTCACTTTTTTTAGAAAGCAATACGCCTTTTTTTTTCTTGTTTAAGCGTTTGTACATAGATTAACTAAAAGGAAGGTAACTGGGTATTTACCATTTCTAGAACAGAGCACAGATTAATTGAGCATATGTAGAGTATAATTATTTCACTATAACAGTCAAATCATGATTGTTTACTGAAATTAATTGGCCTTCGCATTTATATCTCTTCAGACCCAGCGGCAGACTCTGGTATATACTAGCAGGAAGTTTCCAAATCCAACTATAAATTGGTGGGCAAAACTTGTAGATCTAAACCTGATCTTCACCCAGGTTAACTTCCTCAAACCAAGATGTGTGCCTGACTCAGCCATATTCTGTAGAAGCTTGTTATTTTCTTTGAAGCAAAAGCACTCACACATGCAGAACTCTTATCCAATGCTTTGAACAGCCATTCCAATAAGCAAATCTGCAGAAATGAGAGAACTATATGAACTATTTTATGATAGAAAGCTAAATCGTGTTTCCCTAAATTTTTATTACCGCAGGGAAGAAGGAATTTTTGTGCCACGCAGAAAATGTTAGTTTTTGCTAACAGATAGCAAAGCAATGTTAAAAAGTATATTGTAACTTAGAGAGGTAGTAATTTATTAAACATTCATATATTTTCTCTATTTTATGCATTTTATGGCAATCCCTACAATAAAATCAGTAATAGAACAATCTTCTAGGTATACTGAGAATGGAAATATGGCAGTACGCCAACCACAGGGCTTCAGGTCCTAGTTGCGTTCAGTCCCATGGTAAAAATGCCACCAATAATGTTGGTTAGGAAGTCTGCCACAAGTGCCATCTTCATTGGTACAAGGTTGGCCAGTGAATTCAAATCAACAGGAACATTTCTGAGTCTAACTGCTCTTACAGTACCCTGTATTTAAAATGAAAATGGGAAAGGAAAGTCCATTCTAGGCATGGAGCAAAGGGTGTAGTTTGGGCAAGAGCCTGCAATGAGCACACAGAATTTTCCTCAGTCGAGCATTCAAGTCTCACCCATGGGAAAACAAAACAAAACATTCCTTTGGGGTATGAGATATGTTCATATGACACAAACACAAACTGACCACAACCGCCTCCACCTCTGTGGCTGATTTCATTGGGAAGAGTAGAAGAAAGCAGGAACTGGGAACTTTGGCTAAAAGGAAACATGCTTCTACCTCAGCTTTTTTTAATTATGTAATTTTTATTAAAATTGGAAGATAAAAACACAAGCTAATATAAAGTAAAGGAGAAAAAAGGAAGAAAACAAAAAGCAAAAAGTGAAGAAATAAAAAAATAGAAGAAAAATAGAAAAAGAAAAAAATATATAAATAAGTGGTTTCGGATACTCTTCATAGTAGTTATAAATACAAAAAATATTTTAACCTCTGTCTCTAAAGTTAAATCATATTGCTCTTCTCTGGATAATCAAATTACAAATAGAAAGTCACAATTTGAGGTTTGGATGGCATGGATGTTTGTGGGATGAAAAAGTTAAAATGAATGTGAACTTCAAAAGTTATTTTATCGGATGTGCCATATTGAGAATGTGATAGAAATATAAACCCAGGTTGTGCACAAAAACACCGTTATGGATCTCAGTTCAAAAAGCATATTAAACAAGAGAAATTGCAGATAAAGAATTGACATACCAAGACTTATTGGAAAACTATCAAGGGGAATTTAAAATCAAATAAGAGAACAATTAATAGCAGAAAATATAGTTGTCAATAATTTTCCCATTTACAGTCATTTGGAAGATTTAAAATTTATTAAAAGACAAATGATGCAAAGTAAGTCAGAATTTGAACTGCAGTTGAGTACTGATGATGAACATATAATTTCTAAAATGTACAAACTTTTGTTGAAATTTGAAACAGGAAAAACAAGTTAAAGAATGTATGATAAAGTGGGCTAAGAATTTTTTTTGTAATATATAGATAGAATGGGAAGATATGTGGTTGAAATTTACATTATTACGATCTTAGAGACTTTTTTATAAAATGATGTATTGTTGGTATAGGAGGCCAAAAATATAATATATAAAGGCATTTCAAATGTATATTGCAAATGTGAACAATGTGAAGGGACACTTTATTGTGCTTGGTGGACATGTAAAATGCTAAAAAAAAATGGATTCAAATACATACTTTGATACAAAGGATTTTAAGGATTGCTAGAAATCGGAAATTTCCCTTTTAGGATTAATGGAGAAACATTCATAAAAAAGAGATGGAAAATTATTTCAGTGTAGATTACTGCTGTGAAATTACTATATGCACAGGATGGAAAGATTTGACACTGCCCACTAGGGAGGAATGGTTGATGAAATTGCCAGATTTTGCTGATATGGATAAAGTGACTTCTTTGATTAGAGAAAAGATATTATCTACATTTGTTGCTGATTGTGAGCCTTTTGCATAAAATGCAAAAAATGAACATGATCTATGGTTTTGATGATTAGTCAGGATTATAAAAAGAAGAGTAATATGATGCTCCTATACCTTAGATTTTGCATGCCTGAACTTTTTTTTCCGTGTGTGTATGTGTGAAGGGCAAAAGAGAGGATATTTACTGTAGTGATATACAGTAGGCAAAAATACATTTTGTGCTAACTGCCCAATAACCCTGTGGAGGAACAACTAGGAGTATCCAAAAGTTGAATGCAATGTAAAATAGGTTCCAAACCAATGGGAGACCAGTCTGTGGAGAACAGTGGATAATGCAGAAAATAACAGACAAGGTTATGACTTATAAAGCTACCTAAAGGACTATATACTTCAATTGGGGCTGCCTGGATATTTAAAAACTGAAGATTCTTCTCTTCTCACCAGCACTTCACAGACATCCTGAAGCATTTACAAATTCTCCTGTAGAGCAATAGTCTACATGGATTTTCCTGAGATAGCCTTTCAAGCAATACTTGAAAAGTAGTATTTGATATAGTTTTGAACTGTAGCAGATCTGGACTGAATATATTGTATTTTTGATCATTTTACAGAGTGTTTTGCTATGCTTTCTTGTTGGCAGAGGGAACATAAATCTCAAAAATAAATAAATCAGAAGCTCCACTTCCTAATGCATTCACATCATGATTTTCTAATAACCCACACTCCCACTATACAATATTAATACAGCACACATTCCTTTATGGTAGAATGTAGGAAATCATTTAATTAAATAAATCAAGTCATTTTTTAAAACATGAGGTAATGTTCTAATTTTTCAGGACTGAGACATAGTCTTACGAATAGAAGAATTAAGCGTGTTCTGTGAATAAAAGCCTAGGACAATAAATGTCTTTCCTTTTGTCCTCATGTACTGTATGCTTCTGAAAGATGTACAGTTTAGAAGTAGAAAAACTTATGATTGGACAGCATATCCAGATCTTCAAAACAGAGTCAATTGACATAGAATAGATGGCACAGACTGTAAAAATCAACAGATGATTCCTATCAATATTGATTAATTATAAATCAAATTCTCATCAACTAATATCAGTGCTAATCAGTTACTACACTATATATCAAGGACTTGTGAATCAATGAATCA